TACAAAATTATTATTCTTATTTGCCACCTTTTCTAAGAGTAAACACGTGAATTTAAGATGACAGGATGTCTATATTCATTTTTCAACCTCAACAGAAAACTTGACTAGAAAATTATTCTTAGTTGTCAAAACGAGGGGTTGGATCAAGTGTTAAACGGTTTGTTTCAGTTTAAATAAGATCTCGAGTTTGAGATCTTGTATACGCAGTCACCCCCGCTGGGAGACTTACCCACCATTTCCAGGTGTGCGACGCGGGTTGAGTCCGAATTAATCAAGACGAAGCACCGGATACCGGGCAAAAAATAAAAAAAAAAAAAATTATTCTTAGTGACTCAAAGTAAATTTAGGCTATATATTAATAGCTATAAAGCCTATGGCATTGCGTATATCAATGAAGATTGGGAAGCTGATATGAGCATTTACGATCTGTCATTACCACTCAGAAACGTTTTATTTTTTTTTTGACTGATAACTCATTCCAATAAAAAGTGGGATTCCAAAACTTAACCCAAGACAAGAGCAATTGATGGGACAATTACTTGGACTTTTGAAGTTTTAACGTCGTTTTTTGCATGTTCCCTTTGCAGGTTTTCCCTTACAGTTGTCAAAAATCCCCTTTTAACCTCCAAATTTTTTTTCAAAATAGTATTTAAGTTTTTAAATTAAAAATAAATTAAATAAGTCTTTTAATTTTATCAATAGTGTAAATAAGTTATTTTTATTTATGGGTGTTTATACTTTTAAAGTGATATTAAACATAAAATGTCATTTGACATGTTTATAAGAAAGACTTATTTACACTCATGAGTGAATGGATGAGTTAACAAAGAATTATTTTAGTTTAACCAAAAATCTTGATTTCAAATCTTGAAAATATAGTTTTATTAAAACTCATAAAAAAAAATTTTACCGTTTATTGGGTCGTACTCAACTCAAATTTAGATTAATCAATGATCCAATAAACTTTCGAATACTGAATGATCTATAAAAAAAAAAGAACTTATTTATATTATAAATAGAGTTAAAAAATTTATTTATATTGTAAATAAATTTAAAAAATTTATCTATTTTATTTTTAATTTAAAATTTTAAATATTTATTTTGAATAAATTTGAGTACTTAAAAAAGGGTTTTTACCACCTACAGTTTTCCCCCTCCCTCCCCAAAAAAATCCAACTGCATCCCCCACCCCCCTAAAATCTGTATCTCACGCGCTACTTAAACACACCCTGTAGGCCCTCCCTTCCCCCACACACAAACACACACACACCTTTCATTTCCCCTCGTGATTTGCCGCTGGATTGCTGTCAAAAAGCCACGTCACGGGTCCCACCCCTAAGTGTGTTTGCTACACCCCACGTTACGACCACATGATTAACCATCATGATCTTATGATTTCGGGAAGCGCGTGGAGAGGGGCTGCGGCAGCTTTTGCTGTGTTCAGTCAACGGTCAACGAATGAGATAAGATGATAAAGCCGCTTTTTAAGCGAAAGTTTTAAATGAGAAAGGGCAGAATGACGACCTAACCGTGGTTAAAAAAAGGGGTTTCAGAAATTAAAGAATTCAGTTAAAAAGTGGGTTTTGAGTATGTTTGGATTAATTTGTAAAAATTTTTATTTTTTTTATTATTTATAAGTAATAAATTTAAATTTTTATTAAAAAACTTTCAAAAATTATTTTTAAAAATAAAAAAATAATTTATAAAAAATTTAAATTTAAAATTTTTACTATTTAAAATTTTTTAAAAAAAATTTAAATTTATAAAATATAAATAATATAAAAAAAAACCTAAAACATTTAGAAGGTAAATTAAACATACCCTTTAAAAGGGATTTTAACCAGAGTTAAAAAGCTGAAATTTAACTGGGGGAGAGTAAAAAAGAAGGTTAACTAGGGTTAATAAGGATGAGAGAGCTCACTCAGGCTGAGCCAAGCAAAAAGCCACCGATCATGATTGAGCCAATAGGGTCACTGACACAGGTCATGATTGAATCTATACCTATATGTCTCTTTCTTTATCCTGAGTGCAATTTCCCCCTATATATATAGTCCCATCCACTCCCTTTTCTACTGCACAAAACAAAAGCTTGTTTGACGCCTCAGCCCCGCAAAAATCCGAGCCCATTTTCAATTTTTCTCTCTATTTTGCTTTTTCCTCAGAATCCAGAGACACGCTCTTTTTCTCAGCTTCCAAACTGAGAGAAAATTAAGCTTTGTTTGTTTGAGGAGGTAGAAAGGTGGAGATGAGTGAGAGAGAGGACGAGCTGGGGTTGAGTTTGAGCTTGGGATGTGCGCGGAATACTCAGCCTTCTTCTTCGTTCAGGTTGAATCTCAGGTCGGTGATGCAAAATCATCACCAAAAGAACGCCTGGACTGAGCTGTTTCAATCCTCTGGTATGTAATTTATTAATATGTTCTTCAGCGTTTGGATTTGTTTTTGTTTTGAGATCTAGGCAGTGGATTCTTTGGGATTTTTGACTTAGAATGGAATGAAAATGTAGACCGGAGCTCGAACGCGAGATCTTTTCTGCGAGGAATTGATGTGAACCTAGCGCCGTCTGTGGCGGAGTGCGAGGAGGACGCGGGGGTCTCGTCTCCAAACAGCACTATTTCTTCGAGCGTAAGTGGGAAGAGAGGTGAGAGGGACGCGATTGGAGATGAGAACGAGGCTGAGAGAGCGTCTTGCTCTCGTGGGAGTGATGATGAGGACGGTGGAGGCGGGGACGCTTCCAGGAAGAAGCTCCGGCTGTCCAAGGAACAGTCGATGGTGCTGGAAGAGACGTTCAAAGAGCACAGCACCCTGAATCCGGTGAGTGGCATTTCCGCTATTTGTTGATTTTGACGGGGATAGTTTGTGGATTCTTGTGTCATACTTATTAACCATTAAATATGGCTTTTTTTTTTTCTCTCTGTTGCTGTTGCTGTTGCTGTTGCAGAAGCAAAAGCTGGCGCTGGCTAAGCAGTTGAATCTGAGGGCTAGGCAGGTGGAGGTCTGGTTTCAGAACAGAAGGGCAAGGTAAGATCTTTGTCGGTATAGTATTGTCGGAATTACAACTTATTAGGAATGATTTTGTCCCTTTTTAAGTACGGGACCAAAATCTGAAAGTGGGATTTTGGTGCAGGACGAAGCTGAAGCAGACGGAGGTGGATTGCGAGTATCTGAAGAAATGTTGTGAGACTCTGACGGAGGAGAACCGGCGGCTGCACAAGGAGGTGCAGGAGCTCCGAGCATTGAAGCTCTCCCCGCAGCTTTACATGCACATGAACCCTCCCACAACCCTCACCATGTGTCCTTCCTGTGAACGCGTGGCAGTTTCTTCATCGTCTTCCTCCGCTGCTGCTTCCACCACGTCTGCTCCCAGCCGCCAACAACGGCCAATGCCCATGAGCCCTTGGGCTAGTACGCCAGCTGGTCACCGACCGTTCGATGCTCCGGCATCTAAATCTTAAGCATTGATGGGATGGGGGAACATTTGATGTTTTGGGAAGCGTTTAATTAATGGTTTAATGTCGATGGTTAGGATACGGTTTCTTGCTTTTAAGGGGATGGATATGGATGTTTCCTTTTGGAATTGTAAAGGGGTGAGTGGTGGTACAAATTCCTGTTTATAAATAGGAAGGAGATGATTTTAAAGATTTATAAGAGGAGCAGAATCTGAACCTTCTCTTTTGGTTGGTATTTTCGGATTTGTTATGGGAATCTGGGAAATCAGTAAAGGTGACAACATTAAAGATTCTAGTTAAGGAATGATTACATTAAAAAGACACTCATAATTTTCGAAACCAAAAAG